AAAAAAAAGGACCAAGGAATCATAGATAATCCACCTCATTAGGGAGAGTTTACAGGCATTGTGGAATCCACCCTTAGATGCAATCCCTTGAGTCGATTGGATTCAAGGTCACATTAATCTAGCAATCAAATCCTGGAATGAAAACCAGAGGTATGGGTACCAACTTATGAAAAAATTAGAGAACCACAGAAAGCAAGTGAAAGAGAGTGAGATTTACTGAAACATAAACAGGGGAAGAAAAGAATACTATGTGTGTGTGACACACACACACACACACACACGGGGGGGAGAGAGAGAGAGATTAAAGCCAAGGTGATGGAGCTATGACCACAAAGCCCACCAAGGAAAAGCTCCTGACTTAATGAGGCTCAGCTCATAAGCATTGCTGGCCCCATTAACCCTTACTTGTTCATGCTGTGTGAGTAAGTACAATACATGGCATGCCCACTGTACTTAACTTTACCACTGGGGAGCTCAGCTCGCTGTCCCAGGAGGAATCAGAAGGACTTACAGGGGCTCCCAGGTGGAAGGGATCACCCATAAGGGAGGCTGAGGTCTTGTACCTGTTGATTCAGGGGCTTGGCATTTGTTGGAGGCAGAGAAAGACTTGAGAGCTAGGGAGTGGGCGTGACTATCAGACCTGTAAGTCAGAAAGGGCGGTCCCAGCTGAAGCAGTCTAGGCAGTTGATTGGATAGTGGTGAGGAGGTGTGGCACAGCTACTACTTTAAAAAGGGCAAGCAGAGCAGCAGGGAGGCAAAAGGAAAGCCAGCTGACATGTAGGCCAGCACAGATGCACTGCTCTCTGACAGAGAGAGGCCAGCCAAGTCCCCAGGCAGACGGGTAGCCCAGTGAAACCTGTTGCTCTTCAGATCCCCCATGGGGTCCTCAGGAGTGGAGATGGAATTTGCCCAGCACCTGGAAACCCTGCTTAAGCTGCGGGAGCGCCTGGGCAAGGAGACAGAGCCCCACAATCTCTATGAAACCCTGAAGGAACTCTCTTCTCAGCCCATCCTGTGCGACACCCTGGAGAAGATCGGCTTCAGTCAGACCATCAAGCGCTTGAGGAAAGAGCAGCTCCTGGTCCCCTTTGCCAAGGAATTTGCCACCCTATGGTCAAAAAGGTCCCAGTTTGGGCCCCAGCCTGAGCAAAACCTACAGAACTTTGCCAATCAGGTGAGCCATGTGACAGAGTCGTCCAAAAATTCTCCAGAAGACAAGCCCCATGAGCACAGGTCTAAGGAAGACAGAGAAAATGGGAGACAGGTCTTGGAGGTGAGCAGTAGCAGTAAACACTCAAGTCCTGGTCTAAGCCAGAGCCCAAGCTCGACCCTAAGTGCGAGGCTGAGCCTGAGCAACCACACAAACCATGACCAAAAGGCAACTTGCAGCCCAAGGCTGACGTCAAGAGCAAGCAAAAAGCACAGCACATCTTGTGGGGGCCCAAAGCTAGCTGCACAGAGCCAGGAGCAAGTAGCCAAGTGCCCCCGCAGAAGTTTAGAGAAGCCCAGGCAGCTCCGAGAGGAGAAGCTCCTCTCCAGCAAGTCAAATGCTGGACCAGCTAAGCAGTGTCTTTCTCCTCTGCAGAGAAAGAGCCCAGGACACTGGAGTCTGGAAGATCACCCTACTGAGCCTTCTGAGGCTTGCTCCAACTATGACAGCTCTTCTTGCTCTGCCCTGCCCCTGCCGCAGCCTCCATGTAAGAGGAGGAAAAAATGTACCTGGACAGTTGAAGCCCAGCGCCCTGTAGCAAAGGCGCCTCTAGGCAAGTCTCACAGCAGCAAGGAACTAAATTGCCTTGATTTGAGTCCCCTTCCAGATGAGGCCTCCAGTTGCCAAGATGGCTCCTTCCTGGGCGACCCGGACTGCTCTTCTTTGTACACTGACCAAGAAGAATCAACTTGGACACGAAGGGTCAACTTCAGAACGCCAGTCTATTCGGGTCGCGCTCCTTCCAGGCTCCTGCAGAAATCCAAGCAAGGGCGCCTTGCTGAGCCCTCTTGCTCCTTGAAAACTCACTGTCAACCAGCTGGGGACAAAGCTGAACCCTGGCAGCAAGTAGAGATATCCCTGCCCCAAACTCATACTGCCAAGCCAAATCCCACCCAGACTGAAACCCAGACTGAGACCCAGACACACTTCCAGCTGGAAAAGTCCCGCGAGCTCAGGTTGCAGGCCCTGAGAGCCCGCATCCAAAGTGCACAAGCCAAGAAGCCACAAAGCCGCCAAACCAAAATGATCACCTTCGACGCCAATAATACAAGGCCAGGACAGCACAGAGACTCTGGATCAGGAGGGGAGGCCTCCTCTGACAAGAACAGCCTCCCTAGCCACTTGCAGAGAGCTGCCAGTCTGCCTGCAGGAGGCAGCACCAAGACCCAGGCAAAGAAACGGAACCCTCTCATGGTCAAGGCCCTCAAGGACTACAAGAAGAGGTACTCTTGCAGGTGAACCTAGGATGCTCTCTCTCTGCTGGAATCGCTCTTATTCACTGTGCTGCAGTGACTGAGAGTGACTCCTATTCTGAGGGGCACCAGGAAATCCCTGATTTTTAGCACCAACTCCCTGGATCCAAGCTCAAGCCATGGCAGTCCTCTTTCAAAACACTGGACAGGCTTCCCTGACAGTTCACTAAACCCATTTGTGGTATTTGAGCACCAAAGAGTGCCTAGACCTCACAGGTAAAAATACACGGGCTCCCAGGGAAAACACTCGACTTTGGAATTTCTGTCCACGCAAACTCTAAGGAGTCAAGTGGTGAGGACCTGGCCTGAGAAAACAACGAGTACCCAAACCTCAGACCTTTGCCTTCCATTGTGATTTGGTTGCAGACAGACAAACCGAACTTTCTGATTATCACCTGCAGAGACTTCACAACTAATACTGATGGATGCTGATTCAGCCCCACCTCAAACCACTCAAGAGTGGCTGGTCCTTCTGACAAGTATTTAATCCTTTGCCTGACGCACTTGTTAGTAAACTTTTTTATTTTGGACATGACTGCTTTTCTTTTGTTTGGACACTTGATCATTTTTCCCTATTGATGTGAGATTTCTTTCTGTTTGCTAAAATCGGTTTTATTGTCATTGGGTAAAAAAGAAGCACACTTCGCCTATGACAGTGCAGAAAATAGCCAAGCAGGAAACCTGAACAGAGATAGAAAATAGGTGGAGTCAGAGAGACTCCATGTAACCGCCAAAGGTGTAAGACTCCTGAACCTTACCCGTGGACCATAGTCTCCTGCTGTCACACAGATTAAAAGAAACGGGTTAATTTTCAATATAAGAGTTAGCTAGGAATATGCCTAAGCTATTAGCCAAAAAGCATTGTAAATAATTTAAATTATTTATGTCTGGGTGGCTGGGAAAGAAAGAACATTCTTTGTTTACACCCTGTCACCATAGGAAAGTGCCTGGTAAAAGCACAGAATAAACACTGGAGGATTTTTTGAATACCAATATAGGCAGAGTATTGGGATCCTTTCCCTCATACGCAAATGGGTTCCCACACACCTGTACACAGCTATGTGCATATTTACTTATAAGAATACATGCATATTTAGAAAGATAGTTTCAGGGATCCATAGATTCATAGGCACATAGGGTTACATAAGTTTATGTAGAGTTGCTAAATGGTGTAAAATACAGCTAGTAGATAGGTAACTGTACAAACATACCTATGGATTCATACATAGATCAGTAGATACATAGACTTTTGGATATATACATAGAGAAAATGTTGATAAAGATTAATCAGATGAAAGTTGTCCCTGTATGCATTGATCCATGCATTAATTTTTCAAACTAAAGGTAAAATATTAAACTAATGAATCTAAAACTGTTAAAAAATAAAAGGAAACAAAAACAAACAAAAAAGACCCTATAAGAAAATATGTGCATTCTAGCAACTCTCTGTCTCTCCCTCTACCTCTCCCTGTGTCTGTGTTAGCGTATGTGTTTATTTAAGTATATAAAGAAAGAAGGATAGTTAAAAACGGTCAAATAGATCTTAGACATTCTATCTCATTAGAGAAATAATTAGAGAATAGTAATTGTGGAAATATCCCTAATAATCAATCTCTTAAGAGTCCCTGTATTCAGTTTCACAGAGTCCAAGCAAGCAAAACCTAGAGAGAAAGGTAGAGGTGTATGTACTAGCTGATAAAATTTGTTTGAGAATTCCAAGAAGAAAATGAGGTTGAGAAGGATGTGTTTTAATTTTTTTTTTTTAATAAACGAAGGTTATCTGAAGATCAGAGTGTGGAGAAAGCCACACTAAATAGTCACAAAAAACTGGTTTCTCCCTGCACTATGGAGAAACAGAGGCAGATGGATGGCTCTGAGTTCAAAGTCACCATGGCCTACACAAGATTGAATCAGTCTAAATGATAAACAGACAGGTGTGTGGTGGCTCACACCTTTAATCCCAGCACTCTGGAGAACAGAGGCAAGGGGGTGTCTCTGTGTACTAGGTCACCATGGCCTGTACGAGATTTAATTAGTCTAAAAAAAGAAACAGCCAGGGCATGCTGGCTCACACCTTTAATCCCAGCACTAAGAAGTGGAAATGAGAAAAGATGACTGGGCTTAGAGAGGAATATAAGACAGGAGGAGACAGGAGCTCAGGCTCAGGCTGAGGTTTCCTACAGACAGCAATCAGTCTAAGGATTCCTGAAGAGAGAATATTGTTCATTTTGGCCTGAGGATTTTCTAGAGGTAAAAGGTCTCTCTAGTGACTGGCTCCTTTATTTCTCTGACCTTTCAGTATTCACTCTAATATGTGACTCTGGGTTTTTATTAAGAAGACCAAACAAAATTCATGCTACAAAAGATACAGAGTCAGGGAAGAAAAGGATAGTGTGTGTGTGTGTGTGTGTGTGTGTGTGTGTGTGTGTGTGTGTGTGTGTGTGATTAATTCTATAGAGAAAGGAATGTACTTTTAAAAAGAGCCAAGAGACCCCAGATAGTCTATGTCATTAGGGGAAGTGAACAGAACAGACATTGTGAAATTCACCGTCAGAACCAGTCTTTCTTGTGTTCCTGGGTTCAGAATCTCTGTCCCAGCAAGCAAAAGCTGGAGGAAAACCACAGGTGTAGGTACTAGCTTAAAAATTATTTTGAGAATCACAGAAAGAAGGCCTGGGGAAGACAATTATACTGAACGGTGGGAAGAATTATCCTGTGTGTGAGTCACCCAGAAACTCTCTGCAAGGAGAGTCCCATGAGGCTGTGTTATGGGAGCCAGAAGATGGGAGAGAGGTGTCCAAGGGCAGCAGTAGCAGCAAGCACCCCTGTCCCAAGATAAGCCTGAACTGGAGCCTACCACACATGACAAAGGGCAACTTGCAACCCAAGGCTGGAGCTAAGAGGAAGCAAGAAGTGAAGAGGGTCTTTTCGGAACTTGCAGCTAGCTGCACAGAGCCAGGGTCAGGTAGCAAAGACTCAAGGAAGTTTGGAGGAACCCTGGTGACTCCAAGGGGTAAAGCTCCTCTACAGCAAGTTAGAGATGCTTGACTAAAAAATCAAAGCCTGTTTTCCTTGAGGGGAAAGTGTGGAGGTCTCTGTGTACAGGAAGGACACCTGACTGGAACTATTGAGGCTTGCCTCAAGTAAGACAGCTCTCCTTCTTCCTCTACTCTGTCACTACTCCGGCCTTCATGTTAAAAAAAAAAAAAAAAAAAAAAAAAAGCACCAGGAAAGCTGAGGTCCAGAGACCTGGATCAAAGGTGCTTTGGGGCAACTGTGAAAGTTGCAAGTTGCAAGGTTCAGAATTGCACTGCTGTGAGTCCTCATCCAGAAGTGGCCTCCAATTGCCAAGCAGATCCCCCTGGATGGCCAGGATCACTCTTCATTTCATACTGACCAAGCACACCCAGTAGGGGCGAGCAACTGCTAGTCTACTAGGGTCCTGCAACTGCTGGGCTGCAGCAGGAGCTTTCTGCACTCCTTCAGCCAATAGCCTTTAAGATACCAGCCCACTTGGGAGTGGTCTCTTATACTTGAAAAAGCACCTGGAACTGGGTGCTCTCTCTTGCTTCTGGCTCCCTTTCCAGTGCCTAGACTCTCTGTTTTCTGTTTGCTATGAGAGGACTCTTGTTTGGGATGGTGATCTGTAACTTTTCCCCCTTAAATAAATAACTCTTTTTATTATTCCTAGTTCTTAACTCGTGTGGGATTGTTTTGTGGCTTCATCAGGTGCTCAACGTTTGGGTTTAGAACCCGGTTCTACTGCCAGCCCCCAGCCTGGCTGGGCATGAGTTTTCATTCAGCAGGCTGCGGCCTGTGCCTGGAGCCAGCAGTTTAATACAGAATCTCACACAGATGCTTTCCAACTGATCAGCCGCAGTTCTTATCCCTTTACATGCCTTGGATTGGCTTCAAGTACCTATGTACTCTACTGTTTGTCTTCCACTAGGGAGCACTGCAGACATTTTGTTGAGACAAGGGTTTCCCCGTCTGAGTCAGTTGTTCTGCAGTGTTCTAACATTTTGTTTGCATTTACCTATTTGATTGTTCTAGACATTAGCAGAGCACACAGTCTGTGATTTATCTTTTAACATTCTGCTCTAAAATCAGATTACAGACTGGCCACAAGTGAATTCACATGCATCACTATGCCCGGCTGAATTAGATTTGTAGGTGGCCCATGAAACCTACTGTCAGTTTACAGTTATTGCATCTAATTCAGCTAACTGAACCACAGGTAAGATTTAATATCCTAAATGTAGAGCATAGGTTACTAATTTAAAAGGACAATATGTCAGACAATCTAACCATCCAAGATTTCAATAGCCTCTTTACTTATACCATGTGTGAGGCTTTAGAACTCTTATATGATAATGTCCCTTCTACATTGCTATTTTTGTTTTGGGGGGATTAGTCTACTCAATATTTTCTCTTTAAAAAATGGTTTGACAATAGGACTAGGAATGAGGCATTTTTAGAAATGGTACAGTCTTTTCAGACTGAAACCACACTTCTCAGGAAAGAGATTGGAAATCTAAAGAAGGATACAGTCAATTTAACTAACAAAACTCAGTCTACAGAGATACTTTTGAAAATGGTACAGACTGAGAGTAATTTATTTAAAGGAAAATTCACCACTATAGAGAAGAAAACAGCCAATTTGACACATAAAACCCAATCAATGACAGTTGGTGCTGAAACATTATTTGAGAGAATTCTCACTGTTGAATGTCTTAATCGGACTCTGTCAAAGGGGTATGACAGATTGATAGATAGGATGCCTCTCCAGGAAGGTAATATGCATGATATGAAGATTATGTCCAAGGATGAGATATTCTCTCTACTGGACAGACTTCATATCTTCAAATCCTCAATGAGAGCATTAGAGGAGAACACTGGGCATGAGATCCAGACTTTACAAAAGGCAGAGGCAAACAGATTTGAAAACATTGAGGAAATTATCAAATTTGATGAGCAGTAACAAAA